TTTTTTTTTTTTTTTGCACTAGGATGTTTCCTGTGGCCTGGGAAAACGCTCGCATTCTTAAAGAAGACATTGTCATTCAAGGCTACCGGATACCGCCAAATGTAAGTCATCAGTTTAACAAATGAAATGTTTTACTGATCTGAGACTTTGCTGTAGTGGACAATGTCTTCAGACACCAAAGATTCCTTCTCTTTTCTTAACCCGTCGACCAATGCAAGAGAAGCGAATAAGTGAGAGTTAACAATTGCGGCCCAAAAATTGTTTTTCGGAGCTGTTTTTACCTCTGGGTTTTTCTTTTGCTTCTTTTTCGCCTTTCTACGAGACAGCATGCGTCGCTCCTAGCTGTTTTAAAAGTCACTTAAGATTCAATTTAAGTCCAATATTCGGAACTTTTTAAAACCGAAACCACCTGTCAAAATCACCGAAGACGTCCGAACATTTTCGAAGATTTCCGCAGGAATCTCAAGACTTCTAAACGTTTGCAAAGAACTGTCAATGCGTGTGCAACAAATCTTGTGTAAAGGTGTTGATCGAACTGTTGCGAGACGTAGAATGCAACAGTTGCTTGCGGTTGCTCGTGCTGCCTAAAAGGGAAGTTCGGAAGTTTGCTAAACTCTATATATAGACCCTTGGCTCCTAGGTGGAGCATAGGTCGTCTACAGTTTTCTTCCACTGCTCTCTGTCCTGAGCTTGTCGTTCAATTTGGGTCCATCGCAGGCCTATTTGCCGCAGTTCTTGTTCGGCTGATCTTCTCCAATTGTTTTTCGGCCTACCACGGTTTCGTTTGGGAAGTTCGGAAGTTTGCTTAACTCTATACAGTCCTTAAGGTCAATCCAAGATCATTCATTTCATAAATTTGTCTTTTATTTCTTGGACAGACAATGATACGTACCCCAATTTATGTCATGGNAATACACGTATACCGTACATCATTTAACTTGCACAAAATGGTAATATCATTTTTGTTAGTTTTACGTGAGATCCACTTTGCACTAGTGAAGTTCATATTTCACTAGTTGCATTTGGTTGTGATATTTCTCGACGACACCAATGTCATCTACTGTGAGCGCGATATTGAGGTGTATATAAAGCAGTTCAATATATGTTTAAAGAGATTTTTTATTCTTTTGTTTAACAGGGCGGCGTGTGGCTGAACTGGAAATGCATATTTTTCTGTCTCAGGTACGTGTAAAATCTCTTTAGAAAAGGAATAATTGGATAGGAGAGGAGTGCCTTCTTCCGGCAACATCGGCTATTACCCGAGCAGAGAGTTTACTGACAGTTAAAAATGTTGTTGTTGTTGAATGTTTATGGTGGTCGATGCAGTTAGCTACAACTAGCTAGCTACCAGGCATACCACTTAATCTGAAAGAAACAAATATTGCAAATAAACATAACAGGCTTAAAAATCCCAACTGGCGGGAGGCAGATCAGTTGGTTATTTACAAGCGTGACCGAGGAGTTGAACTGGGGTCTATCAAGAAACAACTCCAGCTTAGTGGTCAGAGCGGGACTTGAACCCGCGACCGCCGGATTTCCTAGTCCGGCGCCCTAACCACTAGGCCACGCTGCCTCCACTAATATCGTCCGCTAATATTGTTATCGCTTTCTTTTCGTCTTATTACTGATGTTCGACTCGGCAATAACCAGGCGCAGGAATTCTGCGGAAAACTGAGGCTAGCCTGAAATGTGAGCCATCTTACGCCCCCAGCCCAATCACCTGGGGATTAAGCTGAGGGTGGGAGATGACTGACATTTCAGGCTATGTGTAGGCGTAGTTCCTTAATTTTAGTGGGCTTTGTTTTCTTTTAGTTGTGTTCTGGTTAATATTTTCATCACTTTGTCTCCTTCAGGTGTCACGAAGCTTCTGGATTGAATCCCTTAATGAAGTAAAACCAGTGAGTACTGGTGCTCTAAAGCCTGACAAGGAAGTCAAGTTGGCATTTGTAGATCGCTAAGCGATCGAGAGCACTGAGAAGACGTTGAATGAAAAGTCAACTTCATCATTTTGTATACAGTCCAACCCTTATTAAGCGGCCACCTCTTAAACGGCCACCCCTATTAAGCGGCCAGTAATCAAAGTCCCGATGAGGGCTTCTTTGTTGTTTTTACCTCTATTAAACGGCCAACCCCTTTTAAGCGGCCGCTATCCATTTCGCCGAGGGTGGTCGTTTAATAAAGGTTGAACTGTAGTTATTATACGTTACACTCCAAAAAAAAAAAAAACTGTGAATATCGCAGGATGTCTGTTGTGTATAGATGATACATGTAACGCATCAAAAGTTTTCCGTCCACACTAACTCGAAGGAATTTAAAAACTCAACAATTACCGGTCATTTTGAATTTGTGTTTGAGGAAAACTCGGTCAGGGAAATCACGTGATTATCGTGACGTCATCGTTTTCAAAATGTTTCCCGTCCACACGAAAACGAATAGGCCGCGTTTTCAAGTTATTCCGGTTTGAAGAGCGTTTTCGAAAAGCTCCGTTTTCGTGACGGATCAGTGTGGACGGTAGGCCTAACAGTAGAAATAAAGCTGGTTTTCAAATTTCTCCGACGTAGTGTGGACACTGCCCCAAGCGACAAAAATTTTCTTTTTTTCTTTTTTTTGGTAGAATGTCTCTGAAGCGTAATGTTTCGATTAGTTTGAATATTCTTTTTCAGGGTTTTTGCTGCATTAAATATGACGAACGGTTTCCTCTTGTCCATGTGCCACGCTATAGGCTGCTG